GGCGCCGCTCCCTCCCTCCTTCTCTCCCGGCCGCCCGCCTCTCTGCCGGCCGATAGCGCTTTGTGCTCTTGAGCGCTCTTAATTGTCGGTGGGTGTTTGCGGAGTGGTTTCTTAAATTCTCTTTGCCCATGTTGTGCATTGTACGTTGAGGGCTCTGTTGTGTTTTGTAGATTTTTTTTTTCTTTAATTTCTGCTTTTTGGTTTTGTTTTTTTAAATGAGAGCGGGGACATAGCAGGCGTCCAGAGGCCTGGATGATCAGGGAGGTGTCCAGCCATGGCGTATCAGCTGTATAGGAACACCACGCTGGGCAACAGCCTTCAGGAGAGTCTGGATGAGCTCATACAGGTGCGTGTGGGGTTTAGGGTGTGGGCAAATAGCTTAATAGAAAGCGAGGTTAGTTATTAAAACGGGCTTGTGGTTGCTGTATCGGGGTACTTATGGCCAACATCTGGAAAACTCACTGATTGAAATCAAAAGCTCTTGGTACTCCATTCACGTGGGAAGTCTTTTTCTTAATTATCTAAGTGGCATAATCCCCTGTTGCGTGGCCCAGTAAATGAATGGCCAGATTAATCTGGAACACTGTAAGCGATTTCCTGCTCTTCTGATTGTTTCCAATAAATATTTATCAGAAGAAATCTTTGTGTAGCACAAAAGATCATGTTAGCACATCATTTCTTCTCTCAGAGTTAAATAGGAAAAAGGAAGTAAACACAGGAACATAATGCTTCTGTAAATTGTTTTTCTAGAGATCTGCTTCACATGAACTTTGTTTTGATGTTTTCAATTTTTACTGCATTTTAACTTTTTGGGTTTTTAAACTACTTTAGTCACAGCAAATCACGCCTCAACTGGCCCTTCAGGTGCTACTTCAGTTTGACAAAGCTATAAATTCGGCACTGGCACAACGAGTCAGGAACAGAGTCAATTTCAGGGTAAGATAACAATATATAAAAGTTCTTTATGGGGTACAGTAAGTGTTGATGCAGAACGTCGTTAAAAGCTGTGTGCTCTAAGCAGAACCTTACAAAGGTCCCTTTTGACTCTGAAATGACTGTTTACATGTACATTCTCTATGTAATTGTAAAGCTTGTTATCTTTGTATTCTGCTAGGGATCTTTTGAAGGAATGCAAAAATCAGAAACAGATTTGGTGGGTGGATGAAAACAGGGGAAGGGGAAGAGGGAAATGCTTTGATGGGTGGTATTGCCACCCTCAGTGCCTTGCAGATGAGGAAGGAGCTTTTTGCTTCTCTTAGTTGTCCCTAGCAGAAGAGAGATGAGGCCAGATTTTCAGCCACATCTGTAACATGAAGTGAGACTAGAGAGTTGCAGATCTACACTTAACGCAAGTCACTGGGTCGTTTTGTAGCTATTTTCCGTACATATTGTAGAAAAAAAATCTGTTTGTTTTTTTTCCCAGCCAGCCACCCTAATGATGTCAGATAGCCAGCAAATTGTTAAATGTCAACTTGATTGTAATTTTGAGGGGAAAAAAACAACACCCACAAACAAAACCAAAACAGTTGTCCTGTTAATGGATGTCCTAATGTTTCCTCCACAGTCTATGCAGAATACATTAATGAAGTGAGCTCTGAAGATTTTTAAACTGTATAGATATGTTAAAAAGAGCATAACTTCTTTTCTCTAATGCACTTAACTTGCTTTGTGTGTGTAATATGGTATAGAAAACTGTTCAGAATGTGCTTAGTGGATAAATTAAAAAAAAAGTTACTTGGAGCTTAAGTTCAAGAATATCCATTTAAAATATGTGAAGATGAAGGCTAAAAGATTTACATATCAGTATCCTGAGTAAAACATCAAACATGAGGGTTACCCCTTTATGTCACATAGGTCAATTTTGTCATGTTTTATTTAAACTGTCACATTATTTAAACAACTGCAGAATTCACGTCTTGTTATGATCACTGCTACGACTGATTTCTCTTATGGCCTGTGTTTTAAGAAATCTTAATCTGATACTAATCCATTATACACGTCAGAAAAGTTATAAAACTTCTTAGCGTACCTGTGAAGCTTCCTCTTGGATAGACTATAATGTCACTACATGGTCTTGAAAATTTTAGCCACTGGAGGGCATTTAAACTACAGTTTTTCTCAGAATTGCTTGCTTGCCAAGTTTATAGGCATTCAGGTTCACAGCTGGCTTTATGGCAAAACTGGTTCTAGAAGATACGTAGTTCAGTAGATAGTAAACATCATGTTTTCTGTTACTTTTGGGATGCATCCTATAGAAAATGTCTCTTGTCTTTTTAAAGGGGTCTCTGAATACATACAGGTTCTGTGACAACGTATGGACATTTGTACTGAATGATGTTGAATTTAGGGAGGTCACTGAACTTGTGAAAGTGGATAAAGTGAAAATTGTAGCATGTGATGGAAAAAGTAAGTATGGCATATGATCTAAATAAGCTGAGACACAAGACTTGTTCATTTATAAAAAGCTTTGACCAAATGTCTGATTAAAGCCCAGATTGATTGTATTATTCAGACAAAAGTAGGGTTCTGCACCCCTTTTTATGTATGATGAGAAATGAAACAAAAGCAAGCTAAATGCTTTCCTAACTCCTAAGTGCTGAAATAGGAATGTGTTAAGGGGCTGCTCTATACCTGTTGTTGGGAAGGACATACTACTAGAGCAATTAGAAAGTCAGAAGTAATCTTAACTGAATTTCTGTGCATTGATTTTTCTAGTATTAACCTGTTTGTTAAAAGAGGACCATGTTTTATTGAATTCAAGGAGTGCTTCATCAATCTGAGCAAGCAATTGTCTGAGAAAACCGTCTAAGCAATTGTTTGCTGGATTTGATAGTAGGGGACCCAAGCACATGAGAAGCTTATGCTAGCTTTTGCAAATCGTGTTATAAGATTTATATATTGCTCAACGGGCCCTCTGTATGTACACTGCTTATGGGAGTTTATGTTCCATGTCTGCTTGACTGGATTATTTTTGTCAAAGTTCCTTGAAATTCTTCACTGGAAAAAGTAATTTAGTGACTTTTGTGGCAAGCTGGTTTATAACTTTTAAAACAATCAATGTGGCAGAATATCGCTAAAGATGTGTGAAATGGTGCCACTTGTTGCAGCCCTGGGGATTGATGCTAAAAGGAAGAACTGAGAATGGAAAATGCTGTATTTAAATATACCTTAGACCTCTGAAACAAATTCTTCGTGGCTTCCTGATCCTGGCGTGATTACAGTAGTCACTTCAAGTTGTAGTTCTGAAGAGTTGACAGAATTTATTGTTTGCTCAACTTCTGATATTAGCCAAGCACATAATCTTACTCTGTTTATTTTTTTGTGCACTTATTATAGCTAGAAGAGGAAACCTTACTTTCCAAGTGTTAATCGTTTTCACTCCTGATAAAGTATGCAGATAAGATTTGAAGAACTGGGTAACTTAAAGTTGCTGTTTACATTACGGCCTTTTTTTCCCCACAAAAAGTTGACTTGCTAAAGGAGCACAGTAAAAAGTGACTTGTCTTTGTGCATATCCAAGTTATGTATTTTTTCCATCACTCTAAGAACAAGAAAGCAGGATTAGTAGGAGTACCAGAAATTGCACTGGTGTTAATTGGTGCTTCTGACAAAAGTTCAGAATGGAGAATTGCTTGGAGTTGTTTTATGAAGATCATGCTCATTCTTGCATATGTTTCAAAACACGTAATGAACC